TTTAGTAATAACCGATGCAAAAAGCCATTTTTCAGAACTGGCGGTAATTTTTTTAAAGGGTTTTTGCATCGGTTTTAGCAACCGATGCAAAACGTATCGGAGTATTTGCATCGCTGGCTTTTGCATCGGTTGGAAACCGATTTAAAAGGGTCCAAATAACCGATTTAAAAAGTCATTTTTGTACTAGTGATTTGGCCTTGTGAGTGCAAGATGCTAAAGATTGCCCATAATGGAGCGATATAAGGATTGATCGTCCGCTTGAGGTCCAGTAGCAGCAGACAGCTTTCTTCTAGTGTCAACGAGCGTGGAGATCGATTTGCAAGAAATCATGTCGGCACGCTCAATGATTTCATGAGCAAACAGGGTCTGGTGGAGAAAGAGTTTATGTCGTGTGCGTTGTACATTAATGCCAATATAGAAATGAAGATCTCCCATATCTGTCATTGTGAACTCGCCCTTTAGTCTCTTAATGATCCGGTGTAATATCGAGTTAATTGGATGATGTAATCAGAACATTGTCATCGAAAAGAGATGCTTCGGCTTTACATACAAGAGTAATTAAATAACTGAAATATTCTATTTTTAAAATAAATCACAAGAGTATCACAATACACACACACATACATATATACATACTAGTATTTTTTATTACTCAATTATTTTTTCTTATTAGCTAATGATTAAAAACTCAAGCAAAATATAATATCGAACTTTAGAATTTTAATGAATGATATACCATAAATGTTTGCTAACCGAAATTCATCAATATAAAAATAAAAAAGAACATGTAAATGTATAATTTAAATCTAATTTTTTTGAAAAACTTTGGGGTAAACCACATTTTTGGTGAAGTTGCAAGGGTTACCATCGTCATTTAAAACTAATACTTCCAATCATGTCTTTGCTTTCGCTCGTGAAACTATAATATAAAGTTGATTGTGAGTGAATATATATTGGTTTGGTAAAACATAGTTCAACAAATGACAATATTTGGCCTTGACTCTTATTGATAGTCATGGCAAAACATAAAAATATTGGAAACTGTCTTCTTTGAAGCTGAAATGGTCATCCATGATTAGACGGTACCAAATTCATTCTTGGTATGTAAACTTTCTCCCCGACATTGTTTTCTGATACAACAATTGCACTTATAACATTTTTCCGCAACTCTTCAACGATTAACCTTGTACCATTACACAACATGGATGTTTGATCAATGTTTCTCAGTAACATGATCAGTACTCCTTTCTTCAAAACTATTTAGTGGTTCAAAATTCTAGAACATTTGATATTGTTCAAAAACTCAGTCATTATCCAATAAAATGTATGCCTACATCTGAATCTGCTTGACATGAAAAATAAGAACTCAAATAATCCTTTTCATCACTAGGAATAAGAGACAAAATAATCTCATTGATCATTCCAACAATTTTAAGCGTGAGAGCTAATAAAGATTTATCCATAAAGAAAATATAATCTTTCATATTTTCTAATCGGTCTGGATATGTGAATTCCACCATACTCTTAAGCAGAGAACTCGAGTTAAGAATCAAGGATTCTAGTAGAATTCCACTATACTCTTATACAAGAGTATATATTTAACATTTTTTATGATTTTATTTTTTGTTTTTGTTATTTCAAAAATATAATATTTATTCCAGTTTTTTCTTTTTTTCCCAAAAATTTTCAACTCTTTTAAGTTTTTTTCAACTCTGTTAATTTTTCGAGTCTCTTCTAATTTCTTCCATTTTTCCACTTTCTTTTAATTATTTCCATTTATTTGGGCTTCTTCTAACATCAAACTCATTTTAGTTATACAGAGTGTAAATGAAAAAATCAAGTATTATTCATAGTATATTGAATCATACTTTGAATATATGTTTCAGAGTGCATGTTGAATATTTATTTGAGTATACAAAATATTTATTTAACTTTTAATTGATTTCCTTTCATAAATTCCTAACAAATTTTTTGTTTAGTTTTTTATTGCTTTACCTTAATACATGAAAACTTGTCAAAAAAATAATGACATATAGATATTGACATATGTCAATTTTTAAAAGAGCTAGATGTGATTATTTTAAAGAGCCACATGTCATTTTTTAGAGTTAGGAGTCTCAAATTTATATATAAAAGATATATGTGTGTGTATCTATGTATAAGAGGGGTGAACCTATTCTAGAAACCTCCGTAATTAAGAGGTAGCTATGAATGGTAATTATGTACATAAACTATGCGAAATGCTAGACTTACAAACAAATAATTCACAAATTTCACAAACTTACCTTTTGTAGATTTTAAAATTAAAATATCTTTTATTATTTGAGTGTATCTTATTTCTAGAAAAATATTAAAAAAGCAAGTTTGTAACAATATTAATATCAAATACATTTATTATATTTAATAATTTTTAAAATTATTTTAATTATAAATTGATATAGAAATAAAAAGTATAAATTGGATAGTTTAAAAGTACATAAAAATTTTACAACACAAGAGGTGATAAAAATATTTTATTTTATCAAATTACTAATAAAAATATACAAACAAATACGGAGTACAAGTTATTGAGAAGCCGTAATAGTGATAGTGATATTTATTTTGAGTCATGTGTCAACATGTGTCATGTGATTAATGGAAAGTTGCGAATCATTAACTATGATGGACTCAAACTTTCATGGACCGGCCAAGAACAAGATTGGTGTGTAAGTGTCGTGACAGTTTACATTTTTAAAAACAACCGAAAGGCAAACAGCCTCGAAAGTAACAAATGGAAAATAGGTAAAATTGGCTGGATGCTATTCACGTCTTTGGTGAAGCAAGCATATGTAGAACGATATATGAGACTCTGAGTCACCATAATTTACATCCTCCACCATTCCTGTCGGGCAAGGGGGTGGGGGCGCCTGGGGTGGGCGATTCCACCTTTTGGACCGATATATGAGACTCTGAACTTTTTTCTTTCTTTTTTTTATTCGTTTAAAAAATTTCTTATTTCTATTAAAAAGTTATTTTTATTTCTATTAATTCTCAATCTATATATAACATCATATTTTTTTACTATTGATCTACTCATCACATGTACTTTTACCTATTACATCCAAGGATATTTTTAGAAAGTTAACACCAAAATACACTCCTCTTAAATACCTTTAAAATCAAAAAAAGAAATGTTTTGTGGGACGTGGGAGTAGATTTTAATGTACCAAGACCCCCCTCTCACCATGTGGTTTAGTAAATGTACACTGTTACTCGCTATGATTTCAAAACTCACGTCGTTGTCTATCATAGTTTGGATATTGCTATGCCAATATAATGTCCCTCTAGAGTCTAGACTAAAATATCCTTTAAATATTATGTAAATAGCGCCACTGCTCCATATGGTTTCGAAATTGGCACAAACACACCTCTTTTCTTTATTTTTTTTCTTTTTTCTACTATATTTTTTCATAGATGTTTTTAAAATTCTTTTCTAAAATTATTTTTTTATACTTTTAGTAATCAATTTTTTTGTGCTTGTAATACAAATCAATTGAATAACAAGAATTAACGTACGCTTCATTTGTCTCAAATATATAATTAACTGTAGATTAAAAAGACGTTACTCATTATTCTTTTGATCCCGACATATTCAAAAACTTTTATCATTTTTATTAAAAATTTACTTTTACTCTTATTATTTCTCAACCTACCTATCACATTACACTTTTCACTACTAATCTACATTACAATTTTCACTACTAATCTGCTCATCACATTAAGAGGAGTCTATTTTAGTGCTGACTTTCCGAAAATGCCCTTGGATGTGATAAGTAAAATCCCTTAAAAATCAAAATAAGAAATGTTTTGTGGGACGGAAGGAGTAGATTTTAATGTCCAAGACCCTCTCTCATCATGTGGTTTAGTAAATGTGCACCATTACTCTCTATGGTTTCAAAACTTACGTCGTTGCATCTCATGCCTTGGATATTTCTATGAAAATATAATGCCCTTCTAGACAAAAATATTCTTCAAATATTATGTGAATAGCTCCACTACCCCATATGGTTTCGGAAATTGGCACAAACGCACCTCTTTTCTTAATTCTTTTTCTTTTTTCTACTATTTTTTCATAGATGTTTTTTAAATTCTTTTTTAAAATTACTTTTTTATACTTTTAATAATCAATTTTTTGTGTTTGTAATAAAAATCAATTAAATACCAGAATTAATGTACACTTCATTTGTCTCAAATATATAATTAACAATATATTAAAAAGACATTACTCATTATTCTTTTGATCCCCATATATTCAAAAAGATAAAAAAATTTAGAAAAACTGAAAATATTTAAATGGAAAAATGAAGTACTCCGTATATGTTAAATTTTTATTTCATTTTTTATTTCAAGCACAAATATTTTTTTATTTTTTAAATCCTTTTTTTAAAAATGTAGGTTCAAAAAACAGTTTTTCATTATTTCACATACAAATATTTTTCTTCTCTTTATGAAAAAAAGAAAAAATAGAAGAAGAAAAACAATAAAGAAAAAGGAGAGGAGGCCATCGTTGGCAACGATCTAAGTTTTGAAGCCATGTGGGATAATGGTGCACATTTACCAAACCACAAAAGGTGTTGGTGCAATAAATTTAATGTTATACTTCGTACTATAATTCGGTCTCTAATTGAGATTCCTATAGGGCCCTATTTGAAAGAATGACAATTCTTACCCCCTAATTCTCTCCATCAATTTTGGAGTCAAAATTTGACTCTAAAATCAACGAAATCTTCTAGAAAGTTATTGAAAGGGGCGGGGGTGGGGTGGGTTCTGATCAGACATGGACGGAGAGGTTTATAAGGCGATTAAAATGTTAGGAATCGACAATTTTTCGAATAAACACCGTAGGACCCTAGATCATCTCACGATATTTGTTAACCAAGCCGATGAGAAGGTCATTTGATAAATTTTAAGTACACATTAAAGATGTTTGTGCCTCTCTTTATTTGCAAATACTCCGTACTCTCTCTCTCTCTCTCTTCTTTCATTACAACTGAGAGGGAGGAGGAGCATATAAGCCAGCTCTCCTTCGGTTTATAGCCTGATTTTGCTCTATGAATTTTATAGTACAGTAAAGTAGTTGTTATGGTCTTAACTAATGAAAATATTAAAAATAAACAAAAGTTATTGGGAAGTAAGTCCCAAAAAAATTATAATCAATTTAGAAACAGAGAGAGTATAGTGGAGATTATGACAATATTGACAAGTTTATATATTTTGTGATCAAAATGAATGTGACTCTAATAATTCTCCAAAAACATACAATATTGCATAAAAAACACCAATTTTAATATTCTTATAACTATAGTCAATAAATTAAAGATATAGGAACCAAATTAAAAAATTAATCTTCAGGTACTATTGCAGTGGAAATCTTTTTGTTTAGAGGGTGTTTGGCAGTACATTGCTTTTGAAAATTTAGCTTCTGCTTAGAGTTGTAATGGTTTTATTCTGTTTAGCATGTCATCTTCTGCTTTTGTCCACTACTATTTTGTACACAGAACATCGTTTCAGAGAATCGATTATGAAATGCTTTTGCTTTCAGCTTTTGCAAAAAAATCACTTTATTCATAAATTAATCACAACTCCCAAACACCCTCTAAAGCTCGCTCCTAACAATTGATTTTAGCTACATTCAAAAAAAAATTGGAAATTTTCTTTCCGTGCATTGCACCGGCATAAATCTAGTTGTGCATAAGAGCCATTGTTCTGGTCTGGTTCAATTTCTTGATTCCCCCATCACTTGTATCAGATTCCCAATAATGAGATATCTGCACTTGGTTGGTTCCACTAAAGAGATAATTTGGTGTTAGAAGTGGTGAGCAAATAGATCACTCCAAGTTGGGATGTCGATAAATTTCAAGTAATTTGTGAATAAGTTGAAGGATTATTTGGACTGACCAAACTAGATTTTATTTTAAGAGAACACCCTAAATATAGGGGGAAAAACTTTGAAAAACATCAAAATTAAAGTGCTACGGAGTAGTTTTTAAATTTAAATAGGAATTCATTCCGGACCCCCTCCCAAAAGATAATACAGTATTTTTTATATAAAATGTATTCTTTGATTTGTTGAGTCAGACTGGATAAACTTAATCATCAATTACTCTCAATTTGCATTGCATATTAATATAATTGAATCAAATATTGAAACTAAAGTTCTTAACATTTTAATGAAATGATATTTATACTAATATATATGATAACTGTTAAATATATAAAATATATTTAATATTATTGTATTATGATTTGTTTCCATAGTTGTATAGTTTCCTAGAATATCTCTCCTAACATAACTAGGATTGAGACCTTGTATATATATACATGTATTCCTCTCATAATTAATCAATGAAAATACCACTTCTTCATGGTATCAGAGCCTAACTAAAACCCTAAAATATCTTCCCTAGTTTCGGCCCTCCCCTTACGCCGAACCACCACTTGCGCCGCCGTCTCCCTCCTCTCTTCACGGCCGGCAGCTTCCTCCCCCTCCTACAATGGCCGAAAGTGAAATCACCTCTCAATCCTCCACCCAAAAATCTCCACATCTGGCTTTCTCCGTCTCTAATGTCAAACTCCATGTTCCAATCCAACTCAGCTTTTCTCAACCAAACTACAAAAAGTGGAGCCGCTTGTTCCTTCTTCTTGCACGGCGGTTCAACCTTCAGGGTTATCTCAACGGTTCTATTGCTCCCATCTCCGACGACGATGATGAATGGTTTCAGCTCGACGCCATCCTCCAGGGCTGGATTCTCTCCACCATCACTGATGAAGTTTCTGATCTAGTTCTTTCCTCTGTTTCTACTGCTTCTGCTCTATGGACGGTGATTCATGACCTGTTTCACGACAACAAACATGCTCGCGCCATGCAACTCGAGCATCAATTTCGAAC